TCTCCCAGGTGCCCACGGCGCAGCCGTGGCGATCGAGGGAGCTCTAGGTGGGGTTTCCCCCTCGTCAAAGGGGGGTTTGGGGGTCCTCCCCCAAGAAATTTAAAAAATGTAAGACACCAAGATGCCCTTTTAGAGCTTAAAAATACTTTTCAAAACTCTAACAAATTTATATTTATACTTCAGTATAGGCCCAATTATTTCGGCATCTGCCAATTTACATTCTGCAAATTTAATGCGTGTTCACGTACACGTGCGGGCATGCGTGCATGCGTGTGCAGGTACACGTGTGTGCATGAGTGCGTTGGTGCGTACGTGCGTGTGTGTACAGGTACACGTGCGTGCGTGCATGCATGTGCACGTAGACGTGCGTGCGTGCGTGTGCACGTACACCAGCGTGCATGCATGCGTGCGTGCGTGCGTGTGTATGTAAACGTGCGTGCATGCGTGCGTGTGTGCGTGCGTGCGTGCGTGTGCACGTATACGCGCGTGCGTGCGTGCGTACACGTGCGTACATGTGTGCGTGTGCACGTACACGTGCGCGCGTGTGCAAGTACACGTTCGTGCGTGCGTGTGCACTTACACGTGCGTACATGCGTGCGTGCGTGCGTGCGTGCGTGTGTACGTACATGTGCGCGCCTGCGTGCGTGCGCGCGTGTGCACGTACACGTGCGTGCATGAGTGTGTACGTGCGTGCGTGCGTGTGTACGTACACGTGCGTGCGTGCGTGCGTGCGTGCGTGTGCTTGTATCGAACAATATCACGCATCTGCTTGCTGCCAACCGTTAAACTGCGCATGTGCGCATATGACGTCAATGTTTATAAACATGAAAACAACGTCATGTAGTAGTATATATGCGTGTATACATAAACTATGTGTGATTTCAGATCATTATATGCTCGGGATTGCAATAATTGTAGATAAGGCCTGTGCATAACGAAAATGTGTGCTTGAAAAAAATAATGATCGGAAAAATTATGGCTCCGCCGGCCCTGCTGTCTACGTTACGTAAACAAATCTGTCCCAGAAATTGTTTATTTGTGTCATCCCACGATTTATTCATTTCCGTGTGACAAAACATCAGACACACTTCATGTACAGTTGTTACAGAAAATAGCTATTAATTAGAGTCAAACAACACACTAGACTGATGACTATCCAAGATTTTTAGGATCAAAATCATTGTTTACGTAACTTCACGTAACACTAGGACAGATTCCAATAACACGTGTGTCCTATCCGCTTCCCACAACACTGGCAGTGAAATGAACTTGCGGGGTTGAAAGTGCCCGTATGTTGATGACGTATGCATACATTAACATAGTTTTGTCAAAACAGCCAATTCACACTGGGGCCATAAGGTTACATTTCGTAACACACGAAAACGGGACAGATACGATGACTTGACTCTTACAAATGGATTTTAACTGGTCACATGACTGTTCATTGACAAGTTTGTAGACACCAGAGAAGGAACAATATTGGCAACATATTTAACGTGTTTCACTTGGGGATTGGGTGCAGCAGAATTTGTTGGGGTGTCATTTTGTTCTTGAAGTCTAGGGGACAGACCGTTACGTAAACATCAGCAATATTTTCATCGGTCTGTTTTTATCAACAACGAGACAAAATTCTCAACTAAAACATATAAATCATTCCCAGAGTTCATAGTCTTCAAGATTATTTATTTACAACAATGAAAAGAAGCGTAATAATCATTTAATTTTCTTCTAAATGTAGCTATGATAGGAATGTCCATTTGTGGACTAGGAAAATAAGGGCGTTTGTGATATTTGTGCTGTAAATAAAAGCAATATACCAATGGGAATATGCCAAATTTGTTTATATTATCTCTTAAACATATTAAAGTTATAAATAAGAAGAAATTATAGTATCATTCACTGTTATTTATTTTATTCAAGTAGTTTTTCTTCTTGGGTGACAATATCCTGAATAGCAAATATAGAGTCATTTACAATATTCTAATATATGAAGACATCTTTACAATATTCGAATGTGTGAATTAATGCATCTTTAAAATGTAAGAGCACGTACGTACGACTCTACGATTATTCAATAAGATATTAAGATAATTGATATAAGATATTGTAAGATCTGACGATGGCGGACCATTCATATCGCTTTCAGTTGGGTGTGAGACCAAACGTCTATAACACCCGCCGTGCAGCACATGACCGTTTCTTAGCGCTTGGCAAAACCCTACATCTATATATTTATAGATGCCATGTGATACTGGGGTGGGGGTACGTACTACCGCTGAAGGGGTCGTTGTCGTATCAGGTACTACAGATATGTACCCGAGGTACATACATGTATATACAAAGTGTACCAGACTTGTACTACAGAAGTGTACCAGGGGCGGATTCAGACCGTATTTGCCGTATTGGGAAATACGGTCTAGATTTCAAAGTGCCCTTCGAAATTTTGCGCTAAAAAAATACAGAAAACAATTTGATGGAATTTGGCTATATTCTTTATTTGTTTTATTTTTCTTCTGATTCATTGACAGGACTTGAAGGAAATCTAAATTTTACATGGTAACAAAACTAGCTTTGATATCTGAAAAAGAAGGGAAGTGCTTGAATCATTCTGCATTAATAGCTGGTATGCAAAGCGCAGGCAAAATGAAGCAGAAATAAAATTTCATATGGTTTTTAGCTATTGCTGCTTGACTAAATGTGTGCTCAAATAGTGCTCATTTTTGTGCCCAGGGACCCTTGAAATTTTGACCCAAGACCCCAGACCCCCCGCCATGTGCTTCCGCGCCTAACGGCGCCCACTGTGGGGTGGTGTGCCGTTTTTGGGGGATGTGCCCTTAAAATCTGAAAAAATACTGTCTAGCTCCAGCCCTGGATCCGCCCCTGTGTACCCTAACCCTAACCCTAACCCTAACCTTAAACATACCTCATATAAAAATATAAACATAATACTAAACAACCTAAAACTACCTCGGGTAGGATCTGTAGTACCTGATACGACAACGACCTCATCTGCCGTACTACCATGAAAAGCGGGCCAATCTGCATATGCGCAATTATTAATATACTCGAGGGGAAATGTGGGGGTATAATTTTAAACGGAAGTTAAAGATTCTTCCAGAGAGGGCGAGAGAGAGAGAGCCCCCATGTAATATACGCATATGTGCGCCGGCCCAGTCGGCATATCAACATTTTTCACACGCGCCTATAGTTGGTTTGCGCACACAGCACACAGCAATATAGGCTATATAGCAGCAATAGCTAACCATAAACCCAACCATAAGCACGGACCTATATGTAGTATGTACACGCGGCTCATTTCACAACCATGCTATACGTATATCTATATTGCAGACCCCTCGTGACTAGACTTCTTGAACTCTTGTTTACCTAATACTGAAATAGCTCTGCTCTAATAGTAAAAACGCAAAGTTTTTCCGGCTAGTCACGTGAGGGGGTGTGTGCCTCTGACGTCATGGGCAGCATGAATGAAACTAGTACGCGCGCGGCGACTCGCAGGAGTATGTCAACATGGCGTTGCGAGATGCGTTACGGATATCGACTAGCCTTCGTGTATTTCTTCTACTCCGCCGAAAATCGTTCACTCGCTTGTTGCTAAATCATAAAATCGATAGGGCATTAAGTCGAAGCGTACCCGCCGCTAGTTTGCTGCAAGGAAAACCTCAAGCTCGCAAAGACATCACCATATTAGGTGCTAACGCAAAGAGCGCGCATACTTCGCTTTCGTTTGAAGATCACACCGAGGCTTATCGCAGTAAGTCAACATGGGAGATTCTCCGAGCGCTTGTCGTCTTCAGGATGTGTTGTTATGATTACTTGGTCGACAATAATGCACAGGTAACACCTTTTTTTATTATGGTGACGCGATATATTTGAAATTATTACTGTTACGCTGTAATCTGTACGTCTGTACGTCTGTAACACCGACACAGTCACAGGCACAATTGGAACGTCTCAATAAAATAAAACAAAGGTAAATAAACACGAAATGTATTGTACCAAAGTCTTAATGTTTCTCTACTCTATTTAGCACGTACTATAGCAGCAAAAAAGGGCAAACAAGGTGCTAGGAGTCATCAGAAGGTGTTTTACCGGCAGGTCGAGGCACACCATCGTTCCCTTATAGGGGCCTTATAGTTATATAGTTATACAAGTCCTTGGTCCGTCCACACCTTGAATATGCTATACAAGCTTGGAGACCATATTTGATAAAGGACATAGAGCTCCTTGAAAAAGTTCAGAGACAAGCGACTAAACTAGTGGAAGGGTTGGGTAGCTTGCCATACCAGCAAAGACTTCAAAGGCTGAATCTTACTACTCTAGAGACGCATAGAGAGAGAGCCGATCTTATCGCAGGGGCGGATTCAGACCGTATTTGCCGTATTGGGAAATTTATTAATACGGTCTAGATTTCAAAGTGCCCTTCGAAATTTTGCGCTAAAAAATACAGAAAACAATTTGATGGAATTTGGCTATATTCTTTATTTTTTTTATTATTTTTATTATTCATTGACAGGACTTGAAGGAAATCAAAATTTTACATGGTAATAAAACTAGCTTTGATATCTGAAAAAGAAGGGAAGTGCTTGAATAATTCTGCATTAATTGCTGGTATGCAAAGCGCAGGCAAAATGAAGCAGAAATAAAATTCCATATGGTTTTTAGCTATTGCTGCTTGACTAAATGTGTGCTCAAATGGTGCTCATTTTTGTGCCCAGGGACCCTTGAAATTTTAAGATTTCCTGGGGGTGGCCACCCAGACCCCCGCCATGTGCTTCCGTGCCTAACGGCGCCCACTGTGGGGTGGTGTGCCCTTTTTGGGGGATGTGCCCTTAAAATCTGAAAAAATACTGTCTAGCTTCAGCCCTGGATCCGCCCCTGTATCGAGACCTACAAGATTATGACAGGCTTGGAGAACATTGATCATAGGACATTTTTTTCACCCGCAATCCTGTCCACCACCAGAGGTCACAGCATGAAACTGTACAAAGAGCGCAGTCGTCTTGAACTACGTAATAATATTTTCTCTCAGAGAGTGATTGACAGCTGGAACAGCCTTCCCCAACATGTTATCGCGGCAAAGGACGTGCTCTCATTTAAAATCGAATTAGGCCACTATTGGATAGTTCAGGGTTTTATATAAGCGCAAGCTGCCTAACCCTTGATAGCCACGCAAACACTTGATGTGTGGCTGTACAGTAAATATATTTCACCTATAATCACCTGTAAATGCCGGTCAATTGCTCATCTGCAACACACAAGTACACCGCACGCCCGCCCTGTGCACAAACAACATGAATAAGAGAGTTCATGTCACTCGATCTCTTATTCATGTTACTTGTGTGTTGCAGATGAGCATTTGACCAGCATTTACAGGTGATTATAGGCGAAATAGAGTAGAGAAACATTAAGACTGGTAGTAAATATTATAAATTTCGTGTTTATTTACCTTCTTTTTTTTATTGAGACGTTCCAAGTGCCTGTGGACACAGTGCTATGCTGTTGTTCCTGTTAGTGTTGCTGATCTAGGGTCTATGTACCCCAGGGTACTACCGAAGGGTACCCTGGGTACGGTTTGATATATCGGAAAGTACCTCGGGGTACTATACCATATACGATATGTCGCTGCGTACTCTGCATTGTCCCACCGTACCCTGACTTTTAGCCAACTGATGTCGTAATACATACACTCTGTCAAGTTACCACATCACATAGAAGAAACCTCAAAACATCACAATCCAATAAAAATGTATGCTATATGTTTGACTATATTTTTCTTTTTCCTTTTTTTAAACGAAGAGCTAGCTTTTATATTTTAGTTTTACAACATCTGAAATCAGTTGGCTGAAAGTCAGGGTACGGTGCCAGTAGGACAATGCAGGGTATGCAGCGACATCGTATAGTACCCCGAGGTACTTTCCGATATATCGAACCGTACCCAGGGTACCCTCCGATAGTACCCTGGGGGGCATAGACCCTACTAAAATTTAAAGGCTAGCTCTTCGTTTAAAAAAAAGGAAAAGGGAAAATATAGTCAAACATAGCATACATTTTTATTGGATTGTAATGTTTTGAGGTTTCTTCTATGTGATGTGGTAACTTGACAGAGTGTATGTATTACGACATCAGTTGGCTGAAAGTCAGGGTACGGTGGGACAATGCAGAGTACGCAGCAACATATGATATTGTATAGTACCCCGAGGTACTTTCTGATATATCGAACCGTACCCAGGGTACCCTCCGATAGTACCCTTGGGGACATAGACCCTATCAGCGCCACTTGGCAAAAGCCCAAGGCTGCACAGTGTATCTAGCTTGGCATAAAGACGGTCTCAAATTGCCTTTACCAACACAACCCATACTGTGTAGTGAGCATCTGGCAGCAGTGTCATAAAACATGGTTTGCACAGTCCTTGAATTTGAGGGGAGTCCTTGAAAAGTTGGTAAATTTTGATTTTGTGCTTGAAAAGTCCTTAAATTTCATGAAAATGTCATTGAATTTTTAGAAAGAATCCTTGCCTGTATTAAAAAGAAATTTTGTACCATCAATAATATGCAAACCTCAATAAAAATGGCGTTAAATGCGATTAAAAAGCTATATAGACACGATAGACAGTTAAATGATGATCACAAATTACAGTAAGTCAGTAAAATCAGTCAGTAAATCAAGGTATGTTGTAGAAATGACAGTGTTTAGAAGGGTTTATTAATGTGATCCAGGTAAGTTTTAGAGGTGACAGTGATTATGAATGGGGTTATTAAATTAATCAAGGTATATTTTGTTATGTGTATGAATTCCGATAAAATGTCCGATAAAATGTCCTTGAAAAGTAATTGAAAAAATTTGCAGTCCTCAGTATGAACCATGTAAAAATATAAATGCAGTCCCTGAATAATATTGCAGCTAATAATAATACAATCTGTTATCAATTAATTATGCCTGTATATATATATTTATAATTATATATATATATATATATTATATATATATATATATATATATGTAGGTATATCTGTTGGAAGAAAGGTGTGCTAATGAATATCTTACCTCATATACCACGCTACTTGCAAAATTTTGCTAAATCGCTTCTTTTGACGCCTTTCGCTATCTGTGGTTTCACAGCTGATGAAGCTGGGCAGGTGGATATTTGGTAAGCGGCTGTTCGAGTTGGGTCTCCGAATGACCATGTATGGTCACTTTGTCGCTGGAGTGGATCAGGATGAGATCAAGCCGGTGTTGAGCAAGATGAGACAGTACGGGGTAAAGTCGATCATGGACTACAGCGCGGAGGAGGATCTATCGGCAGAGGAAGCTCAGACGGCCGAGATAGAGTATGATTTACGTCTCTCTGTTCAGTCGCTTTACCAGTGTAGCTCCTTTCCTCTGGCTAGAGGGAACAGTAGCTTCATTTGCTAGTGTGTGTGGAAGCGAAGGGGTTCCTGTAGCAGTAGCAAAGGAGCTAAACTGGTATAGAGCTATCGTATATTAGTAGTGAATAGAAACAATAGAATAAAACAGGTGGCACAATTTTAGAAAATGTGAGCCATGAAATTATAATGGCATGTCCACTACATTTTAAATTAGTGGCTGTGCGCGTAAATATTATGTAATACACAAACGGCCACTGGTTTAAAATTCGGCGACGCCACTATGATTGTAGCTTTGCACACTCCGTTGTTTTTATTGTTTATTTAAGATAATATACTATCAGGAGTAGATAATAGAAGACTATCTATAATAGAAGATCTATTATCTACTCCTGATATTATACATGTGTACGTGACTCTGTCCCTGTTGAGAGTAGGAATGTTTTTGGTAGTTGAAGTATCAGCTAGGCTATCCTGTAAAAAATAGGATGTACAGCAATGTGCCTGCAGTGTCTGTAGGTGTTTTTCTATGCCATCACACGCTTCGAGTTAAATTTAGATGAAGATATAGACTACTTTGGAGGGCGCTTTGCGCGCATATGCACTTAGATACAATAATGTAACCCAAACCCAGGATAGGTTATCCTGGGTTTGGGTTACATTATTGTATCTAATATGCACTATGCAGCGTCGTCACTGCATAAGCTGGTTGACCTCCTAGCACTTACTATTCCTTACGATTACTAGCACTTAGTTCAGTATACCACACTGGCGGATCCAGGTGAAAGTGGGGATATCAGGCCATCAGGGCCATGCCTCTTTCCTATCCAAGAATCCCTTGCAGAATACGAATGAAAGAGAGCTCAATGCAGTTATTTGTGCTTTTTTTTTTAATTCGCACTTGACTCACTATTACCCATATTTATCCGATTCCCCCACTAGATCGAAGCACTGCTGACTTGCGCTCTGCTTCCTTCCCCAGCTGCTGCAGGGGTCTATGTACGCACAGTGCTCTCCGAGACCTGAAGCCCTTTCCTGGATTCAAAAGTGACACATGCAGTGACAGTTTTAATTGTCTGCTTCGCTGCACCCCAAAAACCTTTGACAAGATGTCGTTGTTATAGAATAGTGACAGATAATAAAAAAAACTACAGGAGTGCATGATTTGTTGGTCTATAAAGTTCTTACGACCTACTGAACAAGGATGTACATAACCTTGACATATTTAGGCCGGCAAGCTAGCGAGTTCAAAATTGGTAGACAGTACGCGTGGATTCTAATCCTGTTTTAGGGATCAGCTTTCAAGACGCGACTTGAGTTCCGGACCGTAGACAACTGGCAGGGGATACCCTAGAACGCAGCTTACTATGTGATGTCGTGAGGACAATTTAATAAAGAAGAATTAATCCACACTGTTTCAGTTGACGGAACGAATACTACCTGTGCCATGTGCATGGATATAATTTACTAGCTGTAGGCATGTGTACATTTCTGTGGCCACATGCGCCTGCCTGTACACTGTTGTGTGAAGTGATGGTAGTCGACCCATCTCATTAGGCATGCCTCCCAGCATGCATATTTGTTGTACAATGCTTGTTGTATGTGGGCCGTTCACACCCGGGGCCCTGACCATAGCTCCAGGAAACGATCGCAGGCGTGTGTATATTGGCATTAGCCTTCTCGCAGCATGTCCTGGCTACACCCGATGACCGTAAGTAGATCAGTTTGCAGAAACAAACGAGAGAGTAATGTGGGTTGCGGCTTAGCAAGCTGAATGGTGACCACACTGGCCCACTGCCCATACCCTGGTAATTGCTGCGTACGGCTGGGGCACCTCCCTGCAGTCCATATCGCCCGTAGGCATGCAGTTGTTGTAGTAGGTGGCCTTGGAGAACAAAAATCATGTATTATACGTTGCGCTGAGGATGCGCGCAAAAACGCGCAGAAATCGGCTCACGGTCGCTCGAGCGGGAGGCGAGTCCTGCGGGTGGAGTCGTACTGGCTAGATGACTGTAGGTGCGTGAGTACATGCTGTATAGCCAGCCCCCTGCTGTGTGAGACTACCATCGATCACGACATAAAAGAATTACCAATAAAGCCCGTCATTAGATGCACGAGTGACCGCACCACTGTATGTGAAGGTGCATGGACATAACTCATTAAAAAAGTTCATTCCGGGTTGATCTAATGACTTCAGTCAGCTTTGAGAAAGCCTGCTGATAGGAGGCGAAATGTCAGCGGTACATTTTGATCAATACGGCTGAGTAAAAATTAACCAAGATAGCTCTGGTGCAAGGACGCATCTGCATGTTCCCATGAGCGCCCCCTCCCCCTAGGCATATATCTGTCAGTATGTTTACCTCCTCTGTTGTGTTATTTTTCCAGAGGTATTTTGCCGAATGCGGATCAAAAAGAATCCACTTTCTGTAAGTGTAAATGTTGTCACGGATTTTTATGTAAAGTTTTTTCTATCGTAGCATGTCTATATATATAGCGTGTGCAGCCATGCCAATTTTCTTGCCAAGTTTGCCCATCTGTATTACTATATAAATATGAATTTAATTAAAAATAAATTGAGGCGCTTCTGATTACATGCAAAAATCTTCGAAGCAAAAGATAGATATGTCATGTCATACTATGGATTTTCATGCCATGCTATGGAAGGTCGTGTCATACTATGCAAGGTCGCCCTATACTACATGGATGTTTGTGTCGTAACATAGGAAGGTTACGCCATACTATTGAAGGTCATGTCATATTGTTGAAGGCCATATTATAATGTCGAATGTTGCATCATATCGTTGAAGCCCACGTCGTACCGCCAATCGTTGCATGTTATTGTTGAAGCCCCCCGCCAATCTGTTGTATGTTGCCTCGCACTGCTGAAGCCCACGTCTGTCTGTCTGTCCCGCAGACACGGAGAGATACGCGGCACATCCCGAGCTGGGAGACAGACGAGAGAACGTGATCAGTGCGAGAACGTACTTCTATCTCAACGAGGCGCAGTGCGAGAAGAACACTGAGATCATTCTCAATTGCATCGATGCAGTGTCGGGTATGTTTAGCTCTTAGATAGTAGGTAGTCTTGGGTTTTAAATGTAGGTGTATGTGTAGATGTAGGTGTGGGTGTAGGTGTAGGTGTAGGTGTAGGAGGAGATGCAGGAGGTGTAGGAAGAGGAGGAAGAGGAGATGGAGGTGTATGTGTAGGTGTAGGTGTAGATGGAGGTGTATGTGTAGGTGTAGGTGCAGGTGGATGAGGAGGTGTAGATGTAGGTGTAGGTGCAGGTGGATGAGGAGGTGTAGGTGCAGGTGTAGGTGTAGGTGTAGGTATAGATGTATGTCTCCTCCAGTCAGACATCCGATTGTGTGCACATTCATACGTGCACTCATTCATGCTTTTGACATTCAATCGTAAACACATTAAGTTCTACACTTGTTCGTTTGTATCTTGGAGTAATCATTCTGACATCAGAATGATTACTCCAAGTTTGTACCGAATATGATACCTGTGTGTAGGTAATGCAATGATGCGTTGGGCAATCAGCTTGGGAAGCAATCGATAGTGATCGATAGTCGTTAGGAGTAATTCGCAGGCTGGGGCTGTAGGTGTATGCCGGACAGGTGTAACTTGGCGCTCGCTCGATCGGCAGGTGCGACGAGTGGGACCGGCTTCGCCGCTGTCAAGGTCACGGCGCTGTGCCGGCCGCATCTGCTCATGCAGCTCTCGCAGATTGTTGTTCGCATGCGCGAGTTTTTCAGACTGCTCACGGGCGACAAGTCGTACAACATCTTCCAGGTATGTTCCGCACGCTGCCGTTCCCGCCGGGTATGTCTGTCACCTCCTCACTTCTCTCTTGTAGTGGTCACACGTATCGCCTAGATGTGACTGTTTCCGCTCTAGATGCCAGCACTTGCCGTGGACGTTTATGTTTGCACTTGTGTGGTTACTGCCTGCCTGTGGGTGTTGCTCTCTGCCCTGTAGAGGTCAGCACTTGTCCTTGGCGTTAATGTTTTCCCTCTGGAAGGAATCGCTTGCACTGGGTGTCAATGTTTCTTCTCTAGATGGCATAATTTGCCCTCCGTATTACATTACTACTTCCCTTCTAAAGGACATCACTTTGTGCTGGATTTAATTACTTGCCCTCTAGAGGCCATCACTTGCCCTTGGTGGTACTATTTCCTGCATAGAAGGTTCCACTTCCTGCTGGATTAATTAACTTCTTCACTAGAGGGCATTAGTTGCCCTCAGCGTTGGTTGCGTAGTAGCTACGTGGGTTCTGTGTGCATTCTATCACGCTAAAATCAATGTCATCGCTGTTGCAGGAAAATGTCCCGCGAATAAAGAGGCAGCAGTTCACCGACAAGATGAAGGAGTTGGGAATCCCCATCACTGAAGAGAAGTGCAATGAGTTCTTCACGATGATGGATGTTGATCAGAATGGGTGCGTACAAGCTACCTCTAGTGTACTCCACTATCCGTCCGTGCCTGCGTGTGTGTGTGTGCGTGTGTGTGTGTCTGCGTTTGCGTGTGCGTACGTGCGTGCGCGTGTCTGTCTGCACCTGGATAGGTGCATATAAGATGAGGGTTGCTGGCATTGTAATCTCAATTTTTGTTAAACACTATTTCCGTTTATACAAATGAGATACTGAGAACTGGCCATACTTTGTGTCAATCAGAAAAGCATTAATGCAGTCCACTAAGCTTGCCATTAGGTAAACACCATTGTAATCCTTCACATGTCCGCGGGGAAAGTGGGTCGGGGCCATCCCTGCGTGAAAAAAACGCGTTTCTCTGAATAAAAAAGCTTTGTCACGTTGGTGTTTTTTACAGTGAGATAGGTTTGTTTGAGTGGGAGCGATTGCTCAAGCTCAAGGTCAAGATGTCCCAATACTTTATGCTGCCGAATGCTGAGGTGAGAGTCATCGTTGATACTGCTCTTTCCCTTTCTATACCTACATATCTTATTCTCTCCCGCTCTCTCATACCCATGTGTGTGTGCGTGTATGTGTGTGCGTGTATGTGTGTATTCCTGTGTGTGCATGCCTGTGTCTGTATGCGTGTGTGTGTGCGTGTGTGTGTGTGTGTGTGTGTGTGCGTGCGTGCGTGCTAGCGTGCGTGCGTGCGTGCTAGCGTGCGTGCGTGCGTGCGCGTGCGTGCGTGCGTGCGCGTGCGTGTGAGCGTGGGTGTGTGTGTGCGCTCACGCACGCGTGGGTGCTTGCTTGCCTGCGTGCATGTCATGTGGTATAGGGATGGGTCTGGGGACAGGTTTCACTCTTGATCATGATGATGATGATGATGCTGTTGCCATTGATGTTGTTCCTCCAGTGGTGGTTGTATAGACTGTACCTCTTGTCTTCTCATCATTTGTGCACTTATTCACTGGCACTGTTATTGCTTACAGACAGGTAAGCTGGAGCCCATCATCGCGCCTCTGTCAGATGACGAGGAGGAGGCTTTCATCAACATGATGCGCAGATTGAATCTCATCGTCGAGGTGAGGTGGCGACATCGTGTGGCTCATAATGTTATTAATCTTAAACGCATTCTTCGCTGAATTCAACTCAAATTTGCGTTAGATTTCGGTTAAGGTTAGGGACACGTTATCGTTAATTATGAAGTTAGGTTACTGATACAGTTAGGATTTGGGGACAGGTTTAAGGGTGGGGTTAGTATAAGGTTACTGAAACGGTTAGAGTGTAGCGACATGGTTAATGAGAGTGGAATGATGATAATGATGATCATTTGCGTCGGTATCCCAAAGTAGGAGTCTCCGCAGTTTGCCCAAGTAGCTGCTTCATCGCGCGCTGTAAGCTTAATGCTGTGTTACTCACGCTGCCTTGCTCGTGCATGCGTGCGTGCGTGCGTGCGTGCGTGTCTGTGTGCGTGCGTGCGTGCGTGCGTGCGTGCGTGCGTGCGTGCGTGCGTGCGTGCGTGCGTGCGTGCGTGTCTGTGTGCGTGCGTGCGTGCATGTCTGTGCGCATGCGTGCGTGCGCGCGCGCGTGCGTGCGTGTGTGTGACGCATCGTACGTGATCACATTGCAGAGAGCGAGGGAGCGTGATGTGCGCGTCATGATAGACGCAGAGCAGTCGTACTTCCAGCCGGCGATCAATCGACTTTGCATTGAGATGATGCGCAAGTTCAATACCGACAAGTCTGTGATATTCAACACGTATCAATGCTACCTGAAGGTATGTATGTAATATTCAAAACGTACCAATGTTACCTGAAGGTATGTATGCAGTAGTCAACACATATCAATGCTACCTGAAGGTATGTGTGTAATACTCAACACATAGCAATGCTAACTGAAGGTATGTTGTGATAGTCAACATATATCAATGCTACCTGAAGGTATGTGTGTAATACTCAACACATAGCAATGCTAACTGAAGGTATGTTGTGATAGTCAACACATAGCAATGCTAACTGAAGGTATGTTGTGATAGTCAATACATATCAATGCTACCTGAAGGTATGTTGTGATAGTCAACACATAGCAATGCTAACTGAAGGTATGTATGTGATAGTCAACAAATAGCAGTGCTACATGAAGGTATGTCTGAAATAGTAAAAACAATGCTACCTAAAGATATGTATATGATAGTCAACTCTGGTGCCTGCTGGTATGGTCAACACATAGCAGTGCTACATGAAGGTATGTCTGAAATAGTAAAAACAATGCTACCTAAAGATATGTATGTGATAGTCAACTCTGGTGCCTGCTGGTATGGTCAACACATAGCAATGCTACATGAAGGTATGTATGTGATAGTCACTATGTACCAGTGTTACATGAAGGTATGTATGTGATAGTCACTATGTATCAATGCTACCTGAAGGTATGTATGTGTTAAGCTGGGTTTACGCTATCAACTTTTCAGCAAAAAGTTGACAAGCTGAAAAACTTATCGACTAATCGACCGAATATCGGCAATGTAAACGTAAACTTTGAGTGCTCAATAAGGTGATAGCAACTAGTTGAGAGATTAGAACATGTTCTATTTTTTCCACTTTTGTTCAGCGAGTTGATCAAGTATTTGCCAGTCAGCCACTCCTATAATAGCAAGCTTTTAAGTTATCGACTGCGAGTCAGCAAACGTTTCAACATTTGACCCACAGTGTGTGAGCGGGGCGACGTAGATACGCATTTTTACACGTAATAATTCGCGCCACTGTGGCACCGATAGCAAAAACGCGCTCTCCCCCTGGGTGGAGGGACACGCCTGCTGACTGGAACATCTGATGGAAAGATTGATAGAACGTTGGAAAACTTCAACTCACAAGTGGGACATACTCTCATGATATTTCCTGGCCGCGCTGGTGCCAGGTGTCTTGTTATATTAGATACATCAAGCTCACTCATACTTTCTAAGTAGTTTCTATTTTTGAAGTGAAAAAATGTGAAGTCAGTGTCAGTGTCAATGTCAGTGCTGTGCACTTTGCTGTCATATATCGTTTTACTTCGAGTCATTTTGTGACCGCTTAGTGCTTGTATATTAGCAGAATATGTATGCAGAATATCAGGAGCGTATAATGACAAATATGTCGACATTATATATATGTTGACATGTATATAATGACATTTGTCATTATACGCGCCTGAGAATATGTATTCAGGATATGTATGCAGAATATATATTGGCAGAATATGTGTTTTGTAAGTGAGAAACATAGTGTGACATGATCGTGATTATGTTTATCATGAGACAGGGTGCATACGACAGTATAAAGATGGATCTTGATTTCGCCAAGCGTTCCAACTTCTACTTTGGAGCAAAGATTGTGCGCGGTGCCTACATGGAGCAGGTAGATTATAAACAGCTTGCTTAAGGCCGCCGCACACCAGCCGATTTTTCACGCGATTTGATCGGCCCGATAGAAATCAGCCGATATCGGGTAGGTGTGCGCGTTCATTTATAGACGATTTTATTTTTATCGGGTGATCGTTCTGAACCGATGAGCCGATGAGCCGATGAGCCGATTTTAAGGCCGCCGCACACCTACATCGCTTCATCGCTTCATCGCTTCATCGCTTCATCGTTTGTAAAATCGGCTGGTGTGCGGCGGCCTTAAAGGCCACCGCACACCAGACGATTTTTACAAACGATGAAACGATGAAGCGATGAAACGATGAAACGATGTAGCGATGTAGGTGTGCGGGGAACACCTACGATAATTTCTGCAAGGTGAATGTCATTTGACACGGGCACGTTCAGCTATTGGCTGTTCAATATTTATCGCACACGATTTTCCTGAGGTCACGCGC